GAAAGATGTTGCAGGGACATTTCTTCGACTTTTTAAGCAAAACTTTCGGCAAAAGAGAACAGTTTAGTATCGTTTTGAAGGAAAATAACGGAGAGCCTTCTGTCATTAGCCTGCGAACGCAGACGTATTGCCGCCTGTCGCTCGTCTCCGCCGAAAAATAACGTCTGCGAACCCGAGCCAGGAAACGATTTCTCTGACGCACGAATTTAAAGCCAATCATAGTTTAGCTCAAGTAGCCCCAGAACTACTGCGCGAGGTATTCGCTGCAAGGAGCACTCGAGTTTCATTTTATCATGGAATCTGATTGGCCAAGGAGAAACAAATGTCATTACGTCACAGAAATCGTTTCCTGGCCCGGGTTCGCAGACGATATTTTCGGCGGAGACAAGCGACATCCGGAAATAAGTCTGCGTTTGGAACATCCGAGCGTAGCCAATCAGAGAACGGCATTCTTGATAGAACGCTAGTAGAGTAGCGTAACCAATAAGAGAACAGCATTCGTAATAGAACGCGAGCAGCTTGAAACCAATTTCTGATATATCTAAAACTTGAAAGAATGTAACTTCGAAAAATTTTTATTTTACTTTAAAGGAGTTATTTTCTTTAATTATTAACTTTAACTTTAAGGGCCCATTAATCGATTCGTGCGCGCGCTCGCGCGCGTTGCTAAGGAGGTGACATTTCAGTTCCGGTTACTTACGCCAGCCTGAGTGCGGAAAATAAAAACAACTCAATAGCTTGCAAATTCGCTTTCATTTTAGATGTTTTTCCTTTGTGTTTCACAAATGCAAAATAAAAAAAAAAGGTACAAGCAAAGACAAAACAAGAAAAAACAGAAAAACAAGAGCAAAAGAAAGAGAAAACTCCGTGTCGCGTTGTTTGATCTTACCGAAGTTTTCTGGTAGTGTAAATTGCGCACGCGCTGATAGGGTAACTTCCAACTATATCGGGCGCACTTCCGGTTTTTTCATATGGTAAAGAAAACGAGGTTTTTCATTAGATCTAGCCTTTTTCGACGCGTTTCGATTAAAGCAAACCTTGGAAAAATAGCGACGCATTCCTTTTCTCGAAATCATGCTTTTTTTCAATAAATTACGAATTTTTCAATGTTTGGAAATTCTCTCAAAATCTGACCTTTTAGAAATGAAACAAAATCTATGCATAGGGTAACGAAGATTAAATTTAAAATATTAAATCAATGAAAAAAATCCCGATAAAGTAATTTGCCTAGGAGCCTTTGCATTGTTTCAGTATTAGTCACATAACCAATGGCATGGCCTGATGACATAATCACTGGTGTAACTGATCATGAAAAAGTTAAAACACATGAAATAATTCTGAACTAACTAAAACTGATGGGGTTATATGAGAGTAAATTTTTCTTAGCAATGGCTCGAAAACATCAGTTAATGGGCCCTTAAGGACGTTCGCGCCAATTGTTTCTGCGCATCCTTACTGCGCACGTATATTCGCACACCACGTCATGCACGAGAGCGCGCGCTTAGTAATAAAATGAACAATGATAGGGCAGATGGCCATTGCTATAGTTTTGCTTGGATTTAAGGATCTTTGACATTCGGTGACCACTACTTTTCCTTCCAGAAACAGATTTTATGTACAATTATATCCACATTGTCCAAAAATGAACAAAAAATCAATGTAGGAAGTTAAATTTTTTTTTCAAGATTTCTGTCCACGGGACATCAAATCCTGCCATCTTGCGGATTCAAGGCGCGTGAAACTAAGGTCGCTAAATGCGAACTTGTTCTTTAAGGGACCTCAGCAGTTGACTAAATTCACTTAATAGATCCACTTAAACAATATTAGGCAGAGAACATTTCACTTGAAAGATCTAATATGCAATATTTTTGGGCTTACAGACACTATGAACTTATTTACTAACGAAGCCCGATTTTTTCAGATTTAGTGTGTTCTTCAGGGCATGTTCTCTTCAAAACGAAGTTGGTGACCCCCCATTTTCTTTTTACATTTCTGACATAACTAAATCATCATCGATCTTACAGTGGTGAAAGTATCAGAAAAAAATGTTGGAAAATTTTCGCGCGAACGTCCTTAAAAGAATTAAATGAAACTCTTCAAGGAACTTGGAAATTTTTTTCCTCCAATTGTATTATTTATTTTATTCTATTTTTGTCTTTTTTGATTCTTATATACTCTTGTAATATAATTTATTCATAACTACTTTTACACTGCAGCTGAAAAGCCCCTATGGGGGAGTTTCAATTAACATATATATGCATGTAAACCTGCGTTATAATGTGGTCAATTTATTTGTCATCGAATTCTGGAAAATGACGCTACTCTGGCCGGTTTTCAAATGGCCAGGAAAACATCTCTTTGTTTTCAATTAATACGCTGAATTAACCGCATGTTCTTACGGCATATTATCGCCAGCTATCGACCATTGTGGCCATTTTAATTTCGCTGAAAGAAATAACACGAGGTCGCCAAAAATCACTATATAGTGAAAATAACGCCTGGGGAATGAATTACAGCCACGTCGTGTAACCGCATCTGAAGTTGTAACACTTCCTGTTATGCAAATAAGTAGAATTTAAGCACGCACATTCGAGGGACAATGGCTCATTTGCATCGTTTAAGGTTATTCCCCAGTATTGCATTGCGCATCCCTACTGCGCATAATTTCACGCGTGATTAGCGCGCGCGCATTAGAAAATGGCGGCTTTTTCT